AGGAAATCTCCTTTGTCGTTATAACCAAAAGGGAGCCAATAACCAGCATGAAGTCAAAGCTGTGTAGAATCCAATAAAACGCTGTGCAAACAAAACCAGGAGAGGAGCAGGTGGGGCAGGATATGCTGTACCAGGAATGGGGACAATATTACAGTCCTGATTGTGCATTTAGAATAAAAGCAGGGTGGTAATAAGGAGAGTCTGGCTTATGCTGCAGTTAATACATTATTTTAGCAGTGTCACAAGAAAGGAATTGACTAAAATGCAGCAGCAGTAGTGGCTGAAATCAATAATATGATGTGTGTAGACCTTTTTATCTGTCTTCTTTTCATTATGGTTTACCTCAACCCGCACCTCTCTGTCCAGTTCCTGTCTGAGTTCTATTATCAGAGAGATTGCTGAAGGATGGAGGATAAAAAGAGACTCATTCTACTTTGTCCACAGATTTGACTTTTAGTGTTCTTAGCACGACCTCTGCTGCCCACTAGTGGTACTGCACCGTCAGCTTGAATGACTCTCATACACTGTTGTTTCCTCTCACAGCCCATCAGCAACGCAGACTTCATCGTCCCTGTGGAGATCGATGGAACCGTTCATCAGGTATCGTACCCTCTTTTTACTGAAGACGCATTTTCTTTCAGCAGGGGAAAGAGATCCTGAAGAATGACTGTGATCCAGTTCAAGTAATCCAGGATAGGCTGTGTGTATCCTGATTGGCCTATTCATGATTACTTGCACTGGGTGGCAGCCAATGGGCGAAGAGAGAGGAGGGCATCTGAAGCGGGAGAGACAGCCATCAAGCTGAAGATTTTCAAAATGCAAGAAATTAGTAATAAAAGTATCTTTGGTCATTTAGTAATTAATATATTTAAAAAGAAAAATCATACACCCCTGTATGTATTACAATAAATGTTTTATATATTATTGTACAATGTCCACATGTTTACTCTAACGTCTTTTATAATATACATTTCTTTATACTATTTTATTTTATTGGACTTTTTACTTTAAATACATGTATTTGTTGAAATATCCCCTGTTGTATCTTTTAATGGAGTTTATACTGTAACTTTCTATCTTAATATAAATATATATGTTTTTTCTTTTTTAAATTGCATTTTTCTTTGACTTGTGTTTATATCAATATCTTTGTTTTATTACATTTTTTCATTGCGCTTTCTTTTGTAATCTTATGTATAGTATTTTAATTAAACTTCTGTTTGCTTAAGTATCTTTATTCCTTTTTTATATTATTTTATTGGACATTTTTACTTTTAGTTATTTTGTTTAAATCAATATATGTATCTTTTCATTGACATTTTACCTAACTTCCTATGTTTATAAAAATGTTTATTTATTTAATCTCTTTATTGCACATTCTTACTTTAAGTTCTTATGTAAATATAATGTTTACATTCTATTTTACCCATTATTATTTCATTTAAAGGCCATTCTCAAATGTGCAACTTGCCCCCAGAGAAATAAAGTCCTCTTCTACATAACAGGGATTCTTCTGTAACTCCACACTCCTGATACTGCTATAAATAACTCTGAAGGCTGTAGTAAAGAACGCTCCTCTCACATTACACACTCTTCTCTGCGCATCTGTCTGACACTCGTATTACACCCTAAACCTGTGGTGTGGTCTTGCAGGTGTATGTGCTGAAAAGACCCCACGTGGACGAGTTTCTTCAGAAGATGGGAGAGCTGTTTGAATGTGTGCTGTTCACAGCCAGTCTCGCCAAGGTCAGTTTAAACCCCCGCATGTTTTCTTTGCACGTTTTCTATTTCCTTCTTCTCCTGTTGTCATCTGCTCTTGCCGTCTGAATGTTCACACTTCCTCTGCTTCGCTCTCCATCTGTGTCTTTTGCATCTTAGCCAAAATGAATGGGTAAGTTTAATGAATGAAAAACAATCGCGTCAAGTGGCCGATGTTCCTGTAGTGTCGGTTGTTTCTTGTGTCGAGTCAGAAGCTAGGTGTCAGTAGCGCCATTTAGATGAACTGCTTTTCTTTTTTTTGGAACATTAGTGTAGCATTTTCAAGTTGTTAGCTTTTAGCACTCTAGCTGACTAGTCTGACCACAAGAACCTGTTTGACAAATCTTCTTTTACAACATTCAGTTTGATTTGTTGTCTGGTTTTCCGTAGCTGTATTGCAGTGCAATTCAGAATGTCTAGTATTTGTTTGTACGACGGTGTAACATGTTTGTTTTTCATGGACAGTATGCCGATCCTGTGGCAGACCTGCTGGATCAGTGGAGTGTGTTTCGAGAGCGACTCTTTAGAGAATCCTGCGTTTTTCACAGAGGGAACTACGTCAAAGACCTCAGCCGGCTGGGACGAGAGCTCAGCAACGTCATCATCGTCGACAATTCACCCGCCTCTTACATTTTCCATCCAGAGAATGCTGTGAGTCCCAAAATCACAAATGTATATTTCTACTTATGTTTGGTTATTTACCCTAACCCAAAGGAGTCATGGGCTCCTTTTTATTTGCTACCTCATTATCTTTTATTGTGAGCTATTATATTTTGTATTTTTCCTAACATAAGTTCACAAATGTACTTCAAAAATAACTCTTATGACAAAAAGGAAAACATGAAGCTGGCACAATCTGGAATGGAATGCTGTTTAAATTATTCACTTGTAGTGATTAGACATTTTGGGTCTTTTCATACATGTACACTTACAGTATGGAAATACCCTTTTTAATTCTATGGTAATTCCATTTTTTCTTACTTTACTCTCATAAGCCTTTGGCACAGCTCAGAGCTCCTTGCTCACCCGCCATCCAGAGGAGCAGGGAGCCCTGGCAATGGATCACCCTGATTTTCATGCTCCTGCCAAAATGAATGTATTTTTTAAAGCTGTTACCTTCAGCTATAATGTTTAATAATATTTCGTCTGATTTCAAATAAAAAAGAAAGATAAACACAGTAATGAAGCCTGTAAAAAAAATATGATGACAAGACACAAAAGGAGGAACTCAACAGCATTACACAGGCTGTTTGCGACCTCGGAAAATGCACACAGCGCCCCCTCAAGCCACATATAAACACACATGCTACCAGCCTGAAAACAGTTTTGCCTAGTAAATGGTAAATGGACTGTACTTATATAGCGCTTTATCCAGTCTTTAAGACCCCTCAAAGCGCTTTACATACTACATGTCATTCACCCATTCACACCCATTCATACAGAGCAGTGTACCTTACTCTAGGACCTAACATTCACACACATTCACACACCGTTGGCCATGCCATCGGGAGCAACTCAGGGTTAAGTATCTTGCCCAAGGATACATCGACATGTTGACTGCATGGGCTGGGATCGAACCCACAACCTTCTGGTTGAAAGACGACCACACTCCCTCACAGCCACAGTCGCCCCTCTAGTCTAGTTCTTGGATCTAGGTTGATCTTATACATGGCGCTCTGGCCTGAAACGTATAAGCTGTGACTGTTGAACATATGAGCTGCACGATTTTGGGGGAAAAAATCTAAGGCGATTTTTCCTGGCAAATGTATTGCGATTCGAATTTGCGATATTGTTTTTAAGCAACCCAACGAAAAAAGAAATTGTAAAAAAAAAAAAAAAAGTTTAAAAAAATCGCGGCTTTGCGATTTGATAATCGCATGATTGTCAAATCGCGATTTCGATTTCAAAAATCGAGTTAAATCGTTCAGTGCCCTAACCCTCCCGTAATATTCAGCCTGGCGTTTCCCTTCTAAAATAACTTGATTTTACATGTCCCCTTTTAATCTACTGCAAACTTTTGCACTAGCCTTTTTCCCATAATGCAATAGCGCTTTTCCCATTAATTGTGACATGGTAACTATGACATACCTACTAACTATCATTGAAAGAGTTTATAACTATCCTGTCAGGCGAAGTCTATGAGTTAGTACACAGCTAGACTGAGGGTTGTCTCCCTGTCTCCTAAAGGTCCTGGTCGCAGATCCCTGTTTTGATGACATGAATGACACGGAGCGTGTTCCGGACCTGCTGCCTTTCTTCGAGGGACTTGAGCAAGAAGAAGACGTTACGGTCCTGAGAACCTGAGAGGCAGGTATGCAGACGCAGCCCAGCGCCGCCCGCGCTTTCTCCATCTCCTCCCCTCTACCCCCCCTCTCTTTCCACAACCACCGCTCTCAGACTCAGGCAGATCCTCCCGCACGTGCCCCCTCTTGTCTCCCTGCCCAAGGGGGGACGCCTGGAGTCTCACTGTGGAAAAACCTGGTCATGGACCCCGCTCCGCCCCAGGTGACCGGCTGCCTTCTGGAGTGCCGTCAGAAAAAGAAAAAATATCCCAGGGCACTGTGTTTGCGGAAAAAAAAAACCGCCAGAAGAGTTACAAGAGAGTTGATAACGGACAAATATGCTAAGAGGAAAATGGAACTCTGGTCTTTAGTTTCAAAACCAAGCAGTTTATTATTCGGTGAAGTGCTTATTTTTAAAAACCAAAAAAAACACAGCAACAAGTTTTGTGCTGGAAATTTTTTGGAACCACACAAAAGTCTGAAAAATATTTTGTCCCGTATTGTTGCATATGCAGGCAGTTTCTGGTAGTACGGAAGGACTGGTTGATTCTCTTTCTTACTGAGAAGTGCCTTTGTTGAATGTTGTTTATATGGGGAGATATTTTGTACATGCACATTTCCAGGAGTACAGTTTTTTCGACGAAAAATATGCTTCAAGTGAGGAATTAATCTTGATATATATACAAGTTTTTTGATTATCAAATGCTGAGTTAACGGCGCCAGAAGAGTTCGTTTTTTTTCTCCCAGTATGCTTGTGCCATGTAGTATAGATGTTTCTTCTCTGTACCGCAGTTGCATCTCTCATAATATAGCTCAAGCGGACA